GCCCAGGGTTTTTTTTTTTTTTTTTTTTTTTTTTTTTGCTTTTTTGAGACAGGGTCTCACTATGTAGTTCAGATTGCCGTGGAACTCACTATGTAGGCCAGGCTGGTCTCAAGCTCGCAGCAATCCTCCTGCCTCAGCCTTGTGAGTGCTGGGATAACAGGCATGTGCCATCACACCCAGCTAGGCAAAGGACTACTGACCAACTTGTTCACTGACTTTTAAACAGTGCATTTAATAGCTATTCTAATGCTGTTATTTAAACATAATAAGGGTACATTTAATAGTTACTCTAATGCTATTATTTAAAAGAGAGGTCATGATTTCACCTCAATTTCACCTCATGCTGCCACACTGACAGGTATTAAAGCATGTGTGGTAAGAAAATATTTCCCTACTAATGTCTATGATAAGAGGATTATCTACACCACGATCTACAGTCAATCTCAGGTCTGGTCAGACACTTTAGAAGACCGTAAGTATCAAATACAGTAGTTGATGACAGAGTTCAGATACAGTGATTAAGTTTTTTTAGTGGCTTCTTTTCTGTGCATGAGGGTGGGCTGACAACTGAGAGACAAAATTAAAAGCTTCCCCAGAGGAAAGCCCTGTCCGTGTGGTCCACACAGGGGCACTGCTGGAGGAAGAAGGCTGCCATCCTGCTGGGGACAGAGCTTCCTGTGAACCACAGCTTCCTGGCGGGTCCTCCCCAAACACAGGACTAGTTCAAGTTCAACTCCTCATCTGCTTCTGCTACATCCACGCGCTCTTTCTGCTGGGTCACTGACTGACATTGTCATCTTTAGGGTACGCTCAAAACCTGTTTTTAAAATCATCAACATTTGTTTGAGGATGTGAAAGCTCCAACACTACTTGTGAATTAAGAGACCAAGAACCACATGGGTTGAAACCTTGCTCTAAATAGCATAAATATAGCGAGTGAGGTCAGCACCTTGGTCAACACCAAGATAGCAACAGAGAGAAAGGCTTTTCTGAAGTCCTTTTACCTCCTACACTATGGTCTCAGAAGATGAGGATAAAACAAAGAATCTTTTTCAGAAGCATGAAGTTTACTAGGCAGAATTTTAAATATATACTCAAAGAAAAATAGAATGCAGACCTTGAAAGAAAGGCAGTAAAAATAAATTTAACCAATGAGAATCCACCTAATCTGAATTTGAAAATGGCTAAGGAAATAAAATGTTGAAATTCTTTATAAAGAAAAATTCAGCTCAAGTTAATTCAATTCAACTTTATAATTTCAACATCCACATATTATGGTATATACTAAATATTTAGAAATTCTTGATCTATATCACCATTGTTTTCTAAAGAACTAGGTTCTTTCGAGGTTAAATTGAAGTATAAGCTGAAAAAGATTGGTTAGGAACTTTTTTATAAATTATAATGTAGGGGGCCAGGATTTAGCTCAGTGGCTCTGCACCTGCCTCACTAGCGCAAGGTCCTGAGTTTGATTCGCAGTACCAAAAAATTATAATTTAGGGACAGGCACTAAATCCAACAACATATCAAAAGCCTTGGAATAACGATCTACCATTTAACTAGAAGAAGGCCCATTATAATAGTTTCCATGAAAAATGCTTAGTATTAAATATAAGCAACATCCTTATAAATTAATTAATCTTTCCTACTGCATGAAACATTCACTTAGAGACAATATGTGGAAAAGCACAGGGTGTCCTCTATGCTTTGACATGGTCAAAGGCTATGACATGGTTATCAAAGGCAGTAGTGACTTTGCTGCTCATTCCAACATCTCCACATTCCACGCTCTTATAAAGTTTAAAGTATTTGGTGACAGGAAATACCTGGCTATTTTTTTTTAACAGGATCGAAGTGCCATCATCAACTTCAAATTCTCCATAGTCTTTCAGACACCGCACCTGAAAGGAAAATCTGGTACTTTATCTATTTTTTCAGATAGTCTTGCTGTGCTACCCGGCACGTTGCAAACTCAGTGACCTTTCAGCCTGAGTCTCTGGAGCACTGGACAGACCTTGTTAGCCTGTATGTTGAGGTTCATTTTTAAGATACATACAAAGTATCTCCTCTGACTACAATGAACTTGGCAATGATTTACTGGATATGGAACCATTTATTGGATATGCACAAGCAACAAAAGGGAAAACACAAATAGGACTACATGAAATTTTAATATTTAAAATTGAATATTTGATACATCACAGTATCAAAACAGAAGAAACTATAAAATGAGGTAATATATTTGCAAGTCACATGTGATAAAGGATGAATATCTACAATATATAATATCCAGAAAATATAATATCCAGTACATACATTAACATCGTGTGTGTGTATGTGTTATGTATATACAAAAAAAAATTCAAAATTTCTGTTCAACGGGTACAGAATTTCAGTTTTATAGTGTAAAGAGAAATCTGGACATGGATGGTGTGATGGTTGCTGGATACTATGAAAGCATTTAACAATTTCTAAATTATTCACTTAAAAATGATTAAGGTGATGGAATTTCTGCCAAGTGTGGTGCCACACACACATGTAATCACAGCAGTCAGGAGGCTGAGGCAGGAGGATCACCATGAGTTCAAGGCCAGCCTGAGCTACACAGTGAGTTCAAGACCAGCCTGAACTATATAGTGAGACCCTGTCTTAAAAAAACAAAAATTACAAAATTTGTTACGTGCATTTTACTGCAAAAAAGGTCCTGGTTTGGGGTTTGGGGTTTTTTTTTGTGGTACCAGGGATTGAACTCAGGTCCTTGTGCTTGCGAGGCAGGCCACCGAACCGATGAGCTAAATCCCCGGCCCCGCAAAAAAAGCTCTGGGAAGCTAAGCGTGGTGGCTCACTCCTGTAATCCCAGCACTCGGGAGGCTGAGGCAGGAGGATCACTGTGAGTTCAAGACAAGCCTGGACTACACAGTGAGTTCCAGATGAGATCCTGTCTCAAAAAAACAAAAAACAAAAAAGGGCCTGGGTTCAAACCCCAGTACCACAAAACAAACCAAAACCAAACTAGACTTAAAAATAACTCCTGTTTGACTAATCCACCAACTTGAACTACAGGTTCATTTGTTTTGCTTTGTTTTCAAATTTTAGGGGTTAGTTTTCCATTCTGATTTAATTTTATTTTAATAAGAGGGAAATATTTATATAGTCCAAGGGAAAACTATGAAAGCCAACATGCTCATGAGCTTCAGTTGCTGCATCCTATCCTCCACCCCCATAGCTCACTCTTCTGATTTTGGTTTATGCTTCTCTAATTATTTAAAAGAAGCTAGTATATATTTATATCACCCCTTATCTTAGATAAAAGGCAGCACTGTCCACACATTAATTAAGATGTACATACTTCAATATATAGGCTTTTTGGTGGTTTCATGTCTTGTGTGATGTCCAAACCTTCAGCTCCTCCCAGGGACCTCATGTAAGTGGCAAGTGACTTTTTATACTGATTGAACCACTCCATCTGCAAACATAGAAAGGGTCATGTGACAAAGTCATAGGAAGACCTGCATGCTATAACTTGCATGGATAAACTCATCCAAATGGTCCAACACTGACCATCCATTCATTTGCACTACCAATACAGACCACCTTCTAGGACTCAGGTGCTATTCTGAGACTCAGGCTACATCATTCAACAAAATGAACAAACACCTCTGCTCTCACAAAGCTTACATTCCAGCATATTTAATCATAAACCTGGGGAACATTCAACCATAAACAGAATCATGAAGACACCATTTCAGAACTATAAAATATAATTAAACAAGAGCACTGATTCTATTTCTAAAAATTGTAAGATATTTTTTAAAAAACAAACCATTGTCCATCAACTAATGAATGGATGTGTATATCTATATAATGGAATATTATTCAGCCATCAACAGAAATAAAGGGTGATGGCGCATGCCTGTAATCCCAGCACTTGGGAGGCTGAGGCAGAAGGATCACTGTAAGTTAAAAGCTAGCCTGAACTACATAGTGAGATCCTGCCTCAAAACAACCATAAATATAAATAAATAAATAAAGTTCTGACATGAATTACCACATGGATGAACCTTGTAAACTTACGTTAAGTAAAAGGGACAGTCACATAGTGCATGATTCTATGCACAGAAAAAGCACGTCATAAGCAAACTATAGAGATAACGAGTAGATGAGTGAACTCTAGGAGCTGGATGAGAGAAACTGTGAAGTAATTGACAAAGGGTACAGGACTTTTTTTTAGGGTGAAAATGTTCTGAAATAAGAGGATGGTAAGGGATACACAATTCTGTGGATATTCTGAAAACCACTGAAATGTAAATTTTAAAGTGATAAACTTGAAGGTGTGTGTCACATTTCAGTAAATTTGTTATTTTTTTTTAATTGTTGAGAGAAATGAAAGAAGACCTAAATATATGGAAGGATATATAACATTCACTGAGTGACCTGACATTGTAAAAATGGCAATGATCTACAGGTTCAACGCAGTCTCAAATTCTTAACTTTTTAAAAAATGAAACTTTGCAACTTGAGTCTAAAATTTACACAGAAATCTGAAGGTTCAAAAATACTCAAAACACTTGAAAAAGAACAAGACAGTAATACTTGCTCAAAACTTACTACTATCAAGTTACAGTAATCACAGCAGTAGAACTGGTACAAGGACAGACTGACTAATGGGACAGAAGACATCCAAAACCCACAAATACAGCAACACTCATTATGAGAGAGGCGGTACCATGCACAGAGCAAATAGAGACGGTATCTCCAACAAGTACTACTGGGTACAATGTTCACAACCACAAAGAAACCTCCCATATTACCACTGTGAAAGGTAAAATATAACTCCTATGAGATAACACAGATAAATATCTTAATAGCCTTGAGATAGATAAGTATTTCTTCAATTGGTCAAAAGCAAACAAAAAACCATTAAAGAGAAGACTGATAAATTAGTCACATTAGTAATGACACAGAACTTATGGATAATGTTGATCCAGATCTGTCTCAAAATAAATTTTTTTCTTCAAAATTAAATGTAAATGGGGCCAGGAATTTAGCTCAGTGGTGCCGCTCACTGCCTGCCTGCAAGCACAAGGTCCTGAGTTCGATCCCTGGTACCTAAATAAATAAATGTAAAAAGGCTGGGATGTAGACCAGTGGAAGAGCACTTGTCTTGTGTAACCAAGGCCATTGTTCCAGAGTTCAGGGAGGCAGGGGTAGGTGACAGACTAAAAGTAAGTGATCAAGAGAGCAGTGACACTGGGAAGAGGGTGCGCAACTCCAGAGTGATGTCCTCTTTCTCAAATAGTGGGCACATGAATGCCCTCAGTGACACACCACGACGTTGTGCATCTTGTCTGTATGCATCTCTGTACATTAGTGTATGGGTCACATAAATGTTAGATTACAAAATACCAATGTTAAAAAAAGGACATGTGCCTAGGTGGTGAGAGCTATGTTGCATATTATATAATGATTAAAAGCAACATCTTGTTTCAGTATGCATGATGGTTCAAACAGGTCACACATGGATCTCTCCACCTCAGTCTCTCTACAGAACTGCACAGAGCTGGGGCCGCACCACAGGTCCCAAGGAGAAATGCGGGGGGAGAGAATCAGCGCTGCTCAGCCTTGAAGGGGTCATCTGTTTTCAGTCTTGCTCAGGGATGAAAAGGCAATGCAGAATATTCACATTTCTTCCAAAAAATACACTGACACTGTCACAAAATACTTATCCACAAGAAAATAAAAAGAAAGAAAAAGTACCTACTTTCATTATTTCTCATACTATGGCTTGGTGATTCTACATTTAAAAAGCAAGTTGAAGGCCAGAGATTTAGTTCAGTGGATCTGCTGCCTGCCTTGCAAGGGTCCCAAGTTTGACACCCAGTACCAAAAATAAATAAATAAAAAGCAAGTTGGGTGAGTAAAAAGTAGAGTTAAAGAGGGCCAGAGATTCAGTTCATTTGCACCATGCCTGCCTTGCCAAGTGCCAAGTCCTGAGTTTGATCCCCAGTACCAGGGGGGAAAAAAAAAACAGAGCTAAAGAAAACATGAAAGATTTTACTATTTTGAAATCAGATAGAGCAAAAATTCTTGTATATTATCCACACAGCCACTATATTCTTTTAGTGCGCGATGGTTTTGCTAAACATTAAAGCACAGCTGTCTTCGCTTTACATTGGTCCCTGTGGTCCAGCTGTGTTCTTCACACTAAGCTGTGTTCTGTCACACTAAGTCCACGATGCCAATATCAGTAGCCTCACTGATATTGCCTGTGTACCTGGAATTTGCTGGAATATGAACATGCATTATTTTATTATTTCTATGACATGACTACTATTATTATTTCCTTTTTCCTGATGAGGAACTGAAGCTGAACATTAATAAATAACACGGGGGTAGGTGTGAACCCAGATGCTGATTCCTGCCTCAGTCTTCCGCCTACAGCACCACGCTTGTGCAACACAGATGTGCACAGTGGCACCCAGATGCAGTATCTCCTACAAGCTGTCAGGTGCCAGAAAACATCTGCTCCACAATAGTGGATGCGGTTGCCAGACATGATTGCGATCTAGGTGGAATGTGCCTGCAGTAATTATGTTCATCCTGAGTTTTCCCCAAAGTGCCATCGCTGAGAATAAGAGGCCAGACATATTCCGTGTGTGTGTGTGTCCGTCTGTATATGTGTCTGTGTGTGCTTGTGTATGTGTGGCACTGTGGACTGAACCCTGGGCCTTCACACTGAGCTACATCCCCAGCCCTATTTTTAAACTTTTCATTTCAAGACAGGGCCTTCTTAAATTGCCCAGATTGATCTCAAGCTTTCAGTCTCCCTGCCGCAGCCTCCCAGAGTTCTGGGACTACAGTCATGCGCCACCACTCAGCATATACTCCTTTTTGTAGATGAAGACACTGGGGTTGAAAGAAGTTATTTGCCAATTTCACAGTAATTCACAAACTCTTCCAAGAAATTCTTTCAGGTCTCACTACTCCCACACAGCTAACTTAACTCTAGATCCATTATATGCTGTTCCCCTGGTTGTATTTACTAAAATAAGAACTGGCCCTACTACTCACAGAAAAGTGTTACCCTTAGAGAAACAATGTCCATTATGGGATCTAATAGATGTGCTTGTCTGACAGTGTGCAATTATTTACAAAATTATGAGACAAATGATAAAAATCATTATAACTATTGCCATTTCAGAAGTAACAATGTTCTGTTCATTTCACTATAATACACACAGAGAAACCCCCAAAGTTCAATTCATATAAAGAGATCTTGGCCCAAAAGAACATGAAAGCTGGACATGGTGGCACACACCTATAATCCTGGCACTTGGGAGGCTGAGGCAGGAGAGTTACCAGGAGTTTGAGGATAGTTTGAGCTACATAGTGAGACTCTGTCTCAAAAAACCAAAAGGACTGGGGATTTAGCTCAGTGGCACAGCGTCTACCTCACAAGTTCAAGGACCTGCGTATGATCCCTGGTACCCCAAAAAAAAAAAAAGGGCCAGGGATTTAGCTCAGTGACAGTGCACCTGGCTCACAGGCACAAGGTCCTGAGTTTGATCCCTAGTACCAAAAAAACCCCAAATAACAAAACAAACAAACAAAAAACTCCAAAAGAACAAAAACCAAAGAACATGAAAATAAGCTGAAAGCTGAAGTCCGAACTTGTTACCAATCTGTAGTTACTAAGCAGAGATCACTGATTTATTTATTGAAAAAATAGGATGAAAACAAAGCAATGAAAGTTAGTAAATAAACTGCCACTTTAAAACCATACTGAAGCTAATGGCAAATATAATGAAGGTGGGCTTCCACGAACCGTGGGCTGTGCTCTCCAGCACAGTGACTGCGCTGTTACGGAGTGGCGTCCTGTGTTTTGATTCGTGTGGCTCACCCAAATCAACTCTGCCTTAACCCTGACAACCACCCTGCTGCATGAGGAAGAAACAAGCTGGCCTTTGTCCCCACTCCTGGGCGGGAGCTTCTAGACCCATGGAATTTCTCCAGTGACAAGAGTACCTTGTCTTCAACTGGGCTGATAGCTTGAGCTAACGAGTGATTCTTTGCGGACCCTGGACTGTCTGTGCTAACAGGATGCTTCAGAGGGGGACTGACCACGCCCAACGCTTTGGCCCTGTAACAAGATGTCTGACCTCTATGGAAGACAGGAAGAGTAGAGACTAAGCCCAGTCCAGAGCCAGTGATCCAGCCAACAGCCTCTGGACTGAACCCAGAGCACTCTAGGCACCAGTGGTTGCAGGAGGCCCAGAATGACAGTACTCTGTGTACCATTATACCCAATTAAGTCCTGACTCCACAGAGAGAGGATCCTTGATGCTCTAAGTCTTCAATCCTTTCCACCCTCATCCTGGGAGCCTCCTTTTTGGCTCTGATTTGTACTCTTTTTGCTCAAGGACACTGAAGTTTTAAGCACAGTGCTTTCCCATGTCCTGTGAGTTATTGTAGAGAATTACTGAGCCTAAGGGAAAGATGGGACCACAGGGCTTTTGGCTGGGTCTAGAGTGACAGCAGACTTTGAGTGGCTGTCTAATTCCAGGTAGTCAGTGTCAGAAGTCACAGCAGTCTTGTGATAGTAGGCACTGTGGACTTCACCGTAAGTAAATGAACTCATCAGGCACAGACAGAAGCCAAGCCAATCCCTCAGTTAGGTAGTGGAGAGCCAGGATTTGACCTCATCTGCCTGTCTCCACTACCATGGCCTACAATATGGGGCAAGGTCTGTTCCTTAGTGACTGAATAAATCATAGTGAGTTCCTTAGTGACTGAATAAATCATAGTGAGTTCCAGGTCATCAGTCTCAACTACATAGTGAGACCCTGTCTCAAAAAACCAAAAAGAAAAAAGAAATGAATTTATACTGTTGATACGAAATTGTGTATATGGCCAGGTGTGGTGGCACATATCTGTTATCCCAGCATTGTGGGAGGCTGAGGCAGGAGGATCAAAAGTTCAGGTCCAGTTTAAGCAACTTAGCAAAACAAAAAAATGAAAAAAGGCCGGGGATATAGCTCAGTGCAAAGGCTCTGGGTTCAATCCCCAGTATCAGAAAAAACACTATGGATATGCATACTCATTTTATGGAAAATGACCAAATAGTAACTCCAGCTTTTTCCGTTTTGTTTTTTGGCTGGTTTTTTTTGGTACCGGGGATCGAATTCAGGACCTTGCACTTTCGAGGCAGGAAGTGGAACCACTGAGCCAAATCCCTGGTCCCAAGGCTTTTTGTTTTTTGAGACAAGGTCTCACTAGTAGTCTAGGCTGGCCTCAGCCTCCCAAGTGCTGGGATTATAGGCATGGGTCTCTACACCCAGCCAATGAGAGCTTTTTAACCCTACTGATAAGTTACTAAAAAATAACACAATGTCACTCTGTTAGGTAACAAAAGTTTTCACCTAGCATTTAGAATTACTCCCCACCACATACTTCTCACCACAGTACAGATGAAATAAATTCCAGCCCAATGTTGCTGAGGAATAAATGTTAAAAACAAAAAGAGAAACACCAGTAGGTGCAGTTACAGAATGATCTCAGAAGCTCAGCACTTTCACTACCCTGAACAACACTACTTCACTTACTTCTTCAGTAGACATGTGAAATCGTAAAGCACTTGGCAAGACACTGCCATATTCCCACCTTAGGGCTCTGATGCGGAGCAGCCGATCATACCTAGGAGGCACATAGAGAAGGAACACATGGTGTAAAACAGAGGGGATCAGAGGTCATTTTGATCAATACTCACAGACAACACTGATAGAGCAGCAGCCTTTACATGGCTCTCGATAAAACAAACCCCCTGTAAGAATGTCCTTGGGAAGACAGAGGAAACACAACTTGGACTGGACAGACACCAGGAAGACACTGCTCACTTCTCTATGTGTTGGCCAAACAAAACATGAGGAAATAAATATGGTAAAACATGAAAGACCAAGAGCAGCCAGGCATTGTAATACCAGGTAATGGGGAGGCAAAGCAGGAAGATCTAAGTATAAGGCCAGTCTGGGCAATTTAGCAAGACCTTGTCTCAAAGCAAAAAAATAAAATAAACTGGGCTAGGGATATAGCTTAGCACTTCCTGAGTTTAATACCCAGTACTGTAAAAATTAATTAAGCTGTGCATGGTGGCACACATCTGTAATCCTAGCACTTGGGAGGCTGAGGCAGGAGGATTGCTGTGAGTTCAAGGCCAGCCTGGGCTACATATTGAGTGAGTTCAAGACCAGCCTGAACTATACACAGTAAGACCCTGTCTCAAAAAAAAAAAAAGTGGGGGAAAGAATTAATTTAAGCACTGAGGATGTGGCCCTGTGGTAGAGCACTTGCCTAGCATGCTAAGGCTCTAAGTTTTTTTTTCTTTTTCTTTTTTCATATTTTTTTTCTTTTTATTGAGTTTATTGGTACAATCTAGGTATACAATACAGTTACATTCATTATTGGGATCCTGTACTTTTACATAATAGGTCTTCTCATTTTTTCCCCTTGTCCCTGCCCTCCCTTCACCCACTAATCCCCTCCCCATTTATAAACACTTTATTTCCATTTTTTCACTTTCTCATATTTTTTTCCTCTCCCTTATTACCTTTCCCCCACCCTTCCCACTTTCCCTACACCTTTAGCCCTTTACTTCCTATTTCACATTATTAATTATCTCATTAGGATCTTGTGTACTAAGGCTCTAAGTTTAATCTCCAGTATCCCAAAAGGAAAACAAAAAGATGTCATAGCTCCATAGGTTTTGTTATGTTATTTTTTCTCCTTTTATGAATATTGCAATTGACATGTTTCATAATAAAGTTTTAAAAATAAAATAATTTACAATTTTTATGAAGAAACAAATCTACCATTTGTAAAGTTTACCTGGAAAAGCAAACAACACAAAAAACCCTCCCAGGTTCCTTACCATCTCAAATAAAAACTGAGTCACTTACAGGTATGCAACAGTACAACGTCGATTTCTCAACAGAGAGCAGTGCCGAAATTTGATGGTTGGTATCAAATCACCTCGTCCACCTGACTTTGCGTCATTCCTTGTAAGATCATTTAAAGAGCACAACAGTAAATTATGTACATTTCAGCCTAAGATTTCAAAGTCAACAACTACTGTCTTACATGTTTGTTTTTATCCATTAATGATTAGCACCAGTTAACCTAATCATCAGTGCTTGGATTAATATGTTGCAAGATAAAAAGTCAAAAGTGAACTAACTTGCCTAAAATCATACTATTAAATACATTTTGTTTAACCATTTGGTGCTTAGCATTTTTGCATACTGATAACCTCTGTTGGTTCTAAGAGACAGATGCTGTTTACTCACTTTTTGGAATCCCTTTACCATGTTGGCATAAGGGACAAACCTAACAATTCTATTCAGAAGGTCCCTGTCTCCTCTTGTGTTTTTTGAGGTAGTATTTCTCTTTCAATAGCTCTTCCAAATCCTTATTAAAATAAAGTAAATTAAGGGCCGGGGATTTAGCTCAGTGGTTCCACCACTTGCCTCAAGCACTTGCAACGACCCAAGTTCAATCCCCAGTACCCCTCCCCCCCAAAAAAAACCCAAAAAAACCAAAACAACAATTAAAAAGTAAGTTAAGATGAAGTCAAAATGGTCCTTCATTTCTTTAAAAATATCTGTTGTCAGGCATGGTGAGGTACGCTTACAATCTCAGAACTTGGGAGGCCAAGGCAGGAGGATTGTCAGGAGTTCGAGGCCAGCCAGAAGTACAAAGCAAGACCTCGTCTCAAAAAAATAATAAAATAAATAAATAAATAACTGTTGGTCTCCAACTACGTACATGTATCATACTTCAGTGTTTGCACAGAAGTGGAGAAAATTTTTGTTTTCCTTATAAAAATTACATCTCCTTAGTAGACAAGAACTACGTTTTAAAACCAGATGTACAGAATCTACAGATGTATAGATGAATAAGAATCTACTTTGGAGTTTGAAAGGGAACCAGATGAATAGGAAAAAGATTAATTTGTGTAGTGCCTGTTCCATGCCAACCACTTCACTAGGCCCTGGAAATACAGTATTGTATAGGTAAAAATTTAGTTGGGTGTGTGGTGCATACCTATAATCCCAGCACTCGGAGAGTCCGAGGCAGGAGGATCACAAGTTTGAAGCCAGTCTGAACAACTCAGCAAGACCCTGTCTCAAAATAAAATTAAAAATAATAAGGGGTTGAGATGCAGCTCAATGATCGAATTCTGCATTTGTCAAGCCCTAGCAAGGCCCTGGGTTCAAACCTCAATATTGAGTGAAGGGGAGTGTGAGACAAAATGTAGGTAAAATAGATCCCATTCAATCACACTGTCAAGGTCAGGTTGGGTTTTTTGCTTTGTTTTTCTGATGCTAGAGATCAAACCTAGGTGTCATGGATCAAAACCAGGGCCGCTAACAAGCACTCTACCACTAAGCCACAACCTTGGCTCCTAAGATCTGCTCCACACACTTCTGCCACCCTATGAAGGTCAGATTTATTCTCCGCATTGCTCACAACATACACAGGGTTATAAGGAAACAGTACAAACAGCCAGGCACGGTGGCATGTACACATGCCTGTAATCTCAGCACTTGGGAAGCCAAGGCAGGAGGATCATTGTGAGTTTCAGCCCAGGCTGGGAGAGCTACATAGTGAGTTCGAAGCCAGCCTGGGCTGCATAATGAGACCCTGTCTCAAAAAAACCAAAAAAAAGGGGCCAGGGATTTAGCTCAGTGGTACCATTGCCTGCCTCACAAGCATAATGTCCTGAGTTCGATCCCCAGTACTAAAAAAACCTGACCTAACATTAGTACCATTCAAAGTACATAAGAATTTCTTTCCAAAATTTACATTTATATATGAACAATTTAAAAGGAATCAATTTCTTTTCACAAATAATTTTAATCAGAAACTGTTAACAATAACTGCCTCCTCCCAGAGAAACTAGAAGGATAAGAAGCAGAATTTTGGTCATGAATTTTCAAATGGCACAAATACAGAGATAGGAAAATCACTCCGTTAATGGCCAAGGCCTGTAAGGCAACTCCAGCACATGTCTTTATTCTGTACCTGTTCAGGTCACCTCTACATCACCTGTATGGCCAGGATGCCTCCCTCTCCTCTCAGATCCTCTGGGAGCCACGCACATAGCATCTAGGACCGTTTCTTAGGACACAAATGAGCTACCACCCGCCCACACCTGCACGTCTCACCTAGGGCCGCCCCTTGCCCCTTGCTAAGCTCCAGCCATGCTGCCTTCTTTCATGCCCAGGGCCTCTGCATATGTTGCTCCCTCCGCCTAGAAAGCTCTATGTCACAATCACTACCTCAGTCAAACCTGCTTATGCTTACTTAGGTCTCTGCCAAAATGCCTCCTCCCTGGAGAGAACACTCCTAACTCCTCAATCCAAGCTACATCTTCATTATTTACCCAGAGCATTCTGTAGGCTTTACTATCTTTTTACTGCATTTACTATCTTTCTCCTGCAGGAGACTGTAAGGGGCATGAGACAGGAATATGGACTGTGTCATTCAGCACAGGAAGAGCAGAGCCATTTGTTGGCCCTTCCTACTTACTAGGTGTTTGCTGAATCAGTGAATGACTCGGAGACCTGGACCAGGACCATCTGCCTTTTACACATGTTGCAAGCCTACTGAGACCTCATTTCTTATTCTATTTACAAAGATCTTTCTGTTATCTATTCTTATACACAATTACTGAAAAATACATCTATCATCCTGTGTGCCCCACAAATCTTATTAGCATGCTCTTGATTTCCACATGCAAGTAACTCAAAAACATTCTACTGAGGCCAGAGATTAAACCTCATGACCTCTCTAGGCTGAGATCCTACTCTCTGATCCAGCACTGAGCACTCTTCTGGGTCTTACTCTACTGTGTCACTGGGACCTGGGAAGTCTGTCACAGCTTCTCCACTGCACCAATTTCCATGTTCACTCTGAATAAGGAAGCTAGAGTGTGCTCTTGACTGCAAATCAGCAGCCTTTTGTGACAGGAGTTCTTGTGAGATGAATTTAACTATGAGAAATCACACAGCTCATTTGCCTCAGACAAACACCAGAGGTATTAATTAAAGAAAATAAACCAGAAACATATGTTTCACATTGGTAGGGTTTTTACTAACTCATGTTTCATCTTTAGATCTACTTAATTCTTCTCAACCCATAATGGTCAAATCACAAATATTCACTAAGCATTTACTACATGGCAAGCACTATTTCAGCATCACAGATAAAGCAACGATCAGCACAGATTCCTAGTCCTAGTCCTGTGCTAATTTGTACAGCTAGAATATGATCAGGATCAGAAAATTTAAAAAACAATTAGTTCCAAAGACTAACACAAGGTTATCTGATTTCAACATCGTATTTCTAAAATTGTTTTTGTTTTTGTTTTTGTTTTTGTTTGGTACCAGGGATAGAACTCAGGACCTTGCACTTGCAAGGCAGGCTGCGGAACCACTGAGCTAAATTCCCGGCCCTCTAAAATTGTTTTAAAATATCAATTTCATCAAAACTTACACATCAGACTGGTTTTGTTCATATAAAGCTTTCATTTCCTCCAGAACTTGTCTGATTCCATCCTCCTAAAACACATAAACTGATATTAATACACATTCATTTTCTCTACCAATTCTGTGACAATATTCTATCTGCACTGTATTTATCTTTGATTTATGTACCTTACCAAAGAGCAACAGCCCTTTCACACTACTAGGATAGGTATAGCATGTGTTCAAAAGGAATGTAAAATGGCAGATTCCTGTAGAAAACACTCCAACAGTCCTCCAAAAAGTTAACACAGAATCACACAATCCAGCAATCTCACTCCTAGGTATATAGGCACAAGCACATTGAAAACATGTTTAAAAAAAAAAAAACAAAAAACTTGTACATAAATGTTCTTAACAGCATTATTCAAAATAGTCAAAAAGGGCCAGGGATGTAGCTCAGCAGTGCTGCACCTCACTGGCAAAACCAAGGTCCTGAGTTCCATTCCCAGTACTGGGAAAAAAAATGTCAAAAAGTGGAAACAAGCTAGGCATGGTGGTATACATCAATAATCTCAGCTGCTTGGGAGGCTGAGGCAGGATTGCAAGTTCAAGGCCACCTGGGCTACAAAGTAAGACTCTATTACACACACACACACACACACACACACACACACACACACACACACAATTTGGGAAACACTCCAAATATCTGGCCACACTGATGGGTAAATAAATGTGGTATATCCATTCAAGGAACTATCATTTGGCCATAAAAAGGCATCAGTATCAATATTGACAGATGCTGCAACATAGATGAATCCTGAAAATTATGTGATAAATGAAAGACTCCAGACACAAAAGAACAACTGTATGATTCTGTTCCTCTGCAATAGTTTGGAGCAGTGGCAGACCTGCAGCACAAGTGCCACAGTGAGCTGTTTATATCATTGAAAGCTCTAAAAGGTTCACCATCACTGATTTAGATATTATAAGAGCTTTGGAAAAAGGGGAATAGTTATTGCTCAATGATGATGTTTTGTTTTGGTTTGGTTTTCTGAGAAAGGGTGTCTCTGTAGCCCAGCCTGGCCTTGAACCTGTGGCAATCCTCTTGGCTCAGCCTCCTGAGTACTGTGCACCACCTCATCTGGCTCAAGGATGATGGTTTTTGTTTTGGTCAATGAAAAGGTTTTGGAAATAGTGGTGATGCTTAGACAATTATGTGAATGTAATTCAAAATGGTTATAGGGCCAAGGATTTTAGCTCAGTGGTTCTACCACCTTGTAAGCACAAGGTCCCGAGTTCGACTCCTGATACCAAAAGAAAATGGTTATAGTGATAAACTTTATGTTATGCATATTTTACACAGAAAAAAGTAAAAATAAAAAAGGAATTAACTACTGAAAACATACATACAATCTCAAAGCATACATAATCTCAAATCCATTATTTAAGCAGAAGAGGCCAAAACCAAAAAAAGTTTACTATATGATTCCATCTAGTCCTTTACAGATTCCAACTCCTGGCATTTCAACCCAAAAATATGACAAATATAATCAGAAAGCAAAAACAGTAAATTGTACTGTGGGTGATAGGTAGCTACAATGGAAGATGTAACACTTTGGGGGCCACAAAAATATTGATCAGGTTGCTAGATATAAAGATGTATAGGGGCCAGGGATTTAGTGAAGTGTGGCCACCACCCGCCTCGAAAGCACAAGGTCCTGAGTTCAATCCCAGGTAACAACAATAAATAAATAAAACGAAGATGCATAGCCAAGCATAGTGGTGCATGCCTTTAATCCCAGCACTTGGGAGACTGAGGCGGGAGAATTGCCACAAATTTGAGGGCAGCCTGGGCTCCACATTGAGTTCAAGGCCAGCCTGGACTGCACAGCAAGACACTGTCTCAAAACAAACAAAAATGTATATAATTTGTTAAAATTCAACAATTGCTTCAACTATATACTTTGTCATGCACAAAGTATACCTCAACAAAACTGATGACAACAAATTGGTCATATAAAAGCAATTAACAAAAGTTTGTAAGTAACTTACTGCTTACTAAAAAGTTGGCTTTCAAAAGTTAATTTTTGTTTTGTTTTTTGGTATGGGAATTGAACTCAGGACCTTGTGCTTGCCAAGCAGTCATGGCGCAACTGAGCTAAATCCCCAGCCCTAAAGGATATTTTTTGAATTGTTTTTTGTGGTGCTGGCAATTGAACCCAGAGGTTTTCTACCACTGAACAACATACAATCTTAGTCCGTTTTATCTTGAGACAGGTTCTTGATAAATTGCCCAGTCTGAACTCTAACTCCCCAGCTTCCTGCCTCAACCTCCCAAGTAGCTGGGATTATAAGCATGCGACACCACACCTGTTTCGGGGGGTTTCTTTTTTTTAAGTGTTTTTAGTTTGCACTGCAAGAATAAAAAGGTGTTATGGCGCACGCCTATAATCCCAGAATTTGGGAGGTTCAGGAAAGAGGACAGAAGTGAGTTCGAGGCCAATCTGGGCACTGTAAACTCAAGGCTGGCCTGAACTACACAGTGAAACCCTGGTTCAAAACACAAAATCAAACCAAAACAAAGCGAAAAAAAAAAAAAAAGACGAAGTAGAAAACGGCCAAGGAAGTTTTCCTACTATCAATTTGAAGTAAATTTTTAAAACATTTTCTGTTGTAAAAACAAAATGTTAAATTCATGTTACACAGCAGCTCTACGAACAATCTTGAAAAGCAATACTATTCACTTTTCCCAGTATATGTATTTTTTTTCTTTTTTCTTTTCTTGCAGTACTGGGATTTCAGGCTGTTGAATCTTTATGAGTCCGAAGTCACCCTTAGGTGTGTGTGGCGGCACAAGCTTGTCAAACTAACCCCGCTCCACGTTGCCAAAACCCGCGTGAGACCCCGCCTCCAGGCCAAACCACGCCCAAGCCTTTCCCTCCTCTCCGGCCCAGCCACGACTCCGCCCCCCAACCCGACGCACCTAAGCCCATCCCCGATTCTCCCACCCTGGCCACGCCCCCACGTGACCCTTCGGCAACCCTCTCACGTTGAAAGCGGGCAGATGCCCTTCCGGTGTGCGGTGTAGCTCGCGTACTAGCTCCATAGCTTTTTCACAAAACATGGCGAAGGCGCCCTGATCCCGCGGCCTCGTCCACCGTCAGTTCTTATGCCAGTCACCAGGCTCTGGCGAGCTCACGTTATTTAGTGCCCACAGCTCCAGCGCCTAGTCTCCGCCTTTGCTCCGTGCTTTGGCGCCAAACACAACTAGCCAATAGGAACTCACTGCAGGGCGTCCCGGTCTACGGCGACCGCAAAGGAACATTTATCCCCGCTGAGCAATCGTATTATAGGACGGACTCAGAGAAGTGGTAAAGATTTGAGAGTAGGAGGCAGGCGACCTGTACAGGCGCCTAGGCTGAACCGAGAGGCTCTGAGCACCCAGGTGGCTGGCCAGGAGACTTGTACACTTAAAAACTCCCTTTTTGCATTGATTCATTCATTACCTCAGGTCCGAAAGGAAATTTTAGGTTAAGATAAGGTAACCATTTCAGGCTGGGGATTTGGCTCAGTGGTTCCATTACCTGCCTCACAAGTGCAAGGTCCCTGGTACCAAAATAGTAAATTTTAAAAAAAGATAAGAAAACCATCTTTTATTTGGTGCCTCCAGTGTAGTTGGGACTGCGACCTAGGAGATGGGATCTTGCTGTATATCTAGGCTGGCCTTGAACTCCTTATATAGCCAGGATCCTCCTGCCTCAGTCTCCGGAGTACTGAGATTACAGGTTTGTGCCACCACACCGGTCTAAAGATGGATACATATTGGAGTACTGACAAGGAAACTGCAGTTAGGTAATTTTCCCAAGGTCACACAGTTTATAAATGGATTAGACCTCTATAGCTAGGCTTTTCACTTTCAGCTCTGTGGTGCCACTCTGATTTTATAAGTCATTTAAAAACATTCATGGGGTCCTCTCCTTGCCTGGTGTGGTTGGCCTGCAGGTAGGGGACCTTGGTGTGGGAATTTCTGATAGAAGATGTCTTTAAGAAATGCCAAGATTGGGTCAAGGGATTCGGCTAAGTGGTTCCATCGCCTTCCTCCTCCTAAGGGCCCAAGTTTGATCTCCAGTACCAAAAAAAAAAAAAAAA